TCGGAGCAGTACATCTGAAGTGCAAAAAGGTAAAGTGGGGACGATTTGCCAGAAATTTATGCCAGTGTCAGCCAAACGCACGCATGAACGAGGCACTGGACAGAAACCAAATTTCTAAACCAGGGTTTCTCAACTTCAGCACTATGGAAATTCGGGGCCAGCAAATTCTTTATGGGGGATTGTCCTGTGCACAGCAGCACGGTCAGCGGCATCCCTGGCCTCAACCCACCAGATGCCAGCTCTGCAGCTGCCCACTACTCAACGTCCCCAGCGGGGAAAAGAGCCCCTGTTGAGAACCGCAATTCTAACACGAAGAAATGCTAAGTCGAAGAAAAGCAAGCAAATCAATACCGGAATATGCTACCACTACAGATGCAAAATGGAACAGCACTAGCAATACTGAACTCAGAAGGCTCTCGAAAGTATACACCGTGTGAAGTTGACGGCAGAAAAAAAAAATCACGTAACATGATGTAAATTAACTTGAAAAGATGCAATCATCATCATCTTACTGCCATCATTATGGCCCCAAACCACCTATGCACAAGTAGTGATCAGAAAATTGTTCTAAAAACTATTTGCTATGTGTATAGCAGCTTTATTCATAATTGCCAGAACTCGGGAGAAATGCAGATGTGCTGGAGTCAGTGAAGGGATAAATCAGCTGTGGTCCATCCAGACCCTGGAGTATCCCTGAGGACTAAAAAGAACTGAGCTATCAAGTTATGCCAAGACACGGAGGGAAGATTAAAACTGCTTATTACTAAGTGAAAGAAGCCAAGCTGAAAAGCCTACCTACTGTGTGACATTCTGGAAGAGGTCAATCTATTGAGACAGTAAAAAGATCAGTGGTTGCCAGGGGTTAGAAGAGAGGAGGGGTGAACATGTGGAGCACAGAGGAGTTTTAGGGCAGAGAGACTACTCTGTATGATGCTGTAATAGTGGGTACGTGTCATTATACATTTGTCCAAACCCCTTGAATGTGCACCATGGGTAAAGTAATGTAAACTATGACTTTAGGTTCATTGGCCATGGCAAAGGTACCAACCACTCTGGTGCAGGATTTCATAGTGATGGAGGCCAGACATACGTGCGGGCAGGAGGTATACAGGGAATCTCTGTTTCCACTCAATTTTGCTGTGAACCTAAAACTGCTCTAAAAAATAATTTCTCCTTTTTTAAAGCTTTAATTTCTTTTTATTTGTGTGTGTGTGTGTGTGTGTGTGTGTGTGTGTGAGAGAGAGAGAGAGAGAGAGAGAGAGAGAGAGAGAGAGAGAGAAAGAGAGACTGTGAGCCGGGGAGGGAGGCAGAGGGACAGGGAGAATCTTAAGCAGGCTTTCCGCCCAGTGTGCATCCCGATGTGGGGCTCAGTCTCACGACCGTGAGATCACGATCTCTCTCTTTCTCAAAATAAATAAATAAACATTAAAAAAAGAATTCTATTACTTCAAAACTGTTGGGCTTAAAAATCTTAAGTGTCGGAACAAACACAGACAAATTCCAAGATCCACACTGATGTCACAACAGTAATGGGAAATTTTTAGAAATAAGAAAGCTTAATGACGTCACAGCACATACCCTCAGATTTCAAAATGTGAGACACTGAATGCCTCCCCAATTGCAAGTGAATAAAGAGATTTTTTGGTTTAATATTTAACAGAGAAGACATTCAAAAAAAGTAAGTATGAGTTCGTGTTTAACGTATCGAATAACACCTGTTGACTTGTACTCAACTTGGTGCCATTTAATATTTAATTTATTTATTTTAATTTTTCTTAATGTTTATTTATTTTGAAGGAGAGAGACAGTGTGAGCGGGTAGGGGCAGAGAGAGAGGGAGACACAGAATCTGAAGCAGGCTCCAGGCTCTGAGCTGTCAGCACAGAACCCGACGTGATACTCGAACCCACAAACTGTAAGATCATGACCTGAGCCAAAGTCGGACGTTTAACTGACTGAGCCACCCAGGCGCCCCAATATTTAATTTAAATAAATGTTGTTCCTTAAAGTATTTTAATAACTGTTCACCTGATGTCATAATACAAAGGTTAAAACTGTGCTTTTACATTTAATGTGCCGCACATTCAGGGTTTTGAATGACAGCACCTAAAGTTCTGAAATGGATTTCAACTGGTTTTGATACGCAGGCGAGGAAATTTATAATGCAGATCAACTTCTGCTTTCAAGAGCATCCACTGAGAAAAGAGAGTATTGATCAGCATCCTCTATTCAGTGATATAATGCTGCTTTAAAATTAACTTCATCTGTGGGGCGCCTGGGTGGCTCAGTCGGTTGAGCGTCCGACTTCAGCTCAGGTCACGATCTCGCAGTCTGTGGGTTCAAGCCCCGCATCAGGCTCTGTGCTGACAGCTCGGAGCCTGGAGTCTGCTTCGGATTCTGTGTCTCCCTCTCTCTCTTCCCCTCCCCTGCTCAGGCTCTGTCTCTCTCTCTGTCCAAAATAAATAAACATTAAAAAAAATTAATTTCATTTGTGCTGATGTCAGTTCAGTTTGTAGCCGTTTTACTTTCTATACAACATAGAAAAACAGGACAGAATGACAAGTTTCTTTTAGTCTGTCTTCTGGAAGCTTTTCACTTAATATGGTTGCTGCAAAAAAAACTATTTCACCTTTCAGTATTACTCAGTATTTCAAGAAATGCATGGGTGTAGCATCACTAGGACATTTTTAAAGTGAAGGAAGATACCATGGGCTCACAGGTGAACTCACAGAACACAGAGTGGACTGTAAGGTACCATCTACCTACAAATGGGGGGAAAAACAGAGCGGAAATAGGAAACAAAGGAAAAGGGTAGCAGGAGAAGGTGACTGAATCCCCACCCCCATTCGCTCTGACCACAAGCCCCGAGGGACCAGCAAGGTGGGTAGAGAGGGTATCAGGTCCTGCGGCACCACAGCCCCCACCTGCTTCCGGGCAGTGCGGCTGTGCCCCTGGGTGTGGGGACAGACCTCTGCAGGTGCACAAGGATACAGCTCCGGCTCTTGCCGAGTTCTGCTCCGTCCCAGGTTGGGGGTGCACCCACCTCCAGGTGAGTGGGGTGTCTTAGGGGGCCAGCTCCCTCCTGCGTCCCCTCTGGAGGAGCCCACGCAGCTTCTGGTCTTTTGGGCGGGACCGATGAATACTATTGTTACTATTACAGAAGAAAAGGTGGCTCGTGTTTTCGCTTTAAAAATTCTCATTTGAAATATCTTTGGGCCGTGTGAAAGGTCAGCAGATCATTATTAACCGTACAGAGATAGCAGTTTTTTTCTGTGATCTTTTACTTCTGCATACGACCCGAGGAAGTGATTTTACAATTCTCAACGAAACAGCATAAACAACTGCACCCTCCCTGGCAAAAGGTTGCTCCCCGATGGTGAAAACGTGTCTAGAGATATCGGTTTTCTCGATTATTTCACTAGTGCTTTAGCATCACGGACTCTCTGGGCTGAAACGAACAGAAGGGATGATCTACTGTCTTCATTCTGTAACTGAGTCAAGTGTGAGCTCAAGGAGTCATGTGACTCGCTAAGGCCCACAGGTAGTGTTGTGATGATTCCCGATGGTAGGAAACAGCCTATCACTAACTGAAATCACTATACTCTATCGGCGGAACATGAATCTCAAATCGCAACTTGCTTTCTTCATAGAGACAGGTATCTTCGCTTAGGGATCACTGACAAGTAGCCCAGAGAATAGTCATATTTTATTTTTGAAATCAACCAAAGACCTTTAACTTAACTACCTCCAGATCTGTAATTTGATATTACTGATCCTAAAAACTTCTTTCAATAAGCGTCATTCCAAAGAAATGAGCCTTACAAGAAATGATTCCAGGGCAAGTTACGAACACCCACAACACGGGCAACATTTCTGCAGATGATTATCACTGCTGACACTGAACAGCATGACAGAACTTGCTACAAGCTGGTAAAACAATAACATAGGTTTGGTGATGAACAGGTATTTTCAAACTTTTCTGTGAGATTGATATAAGTTATATCATTCCTTTTTAGAGACCTCTTATTTAATATGAAACATATACTGCAACCACACAGATGTTCCTATACGACACCAGAAATATAAGAAAAACATGTTTCTTATGTTTTTCAGCCAATAATGGAAGTTCCAACATTTCTTTATAGGAAAATTATTCTGCATAAATGCTCAAAAGTACTTGCAACTACATTACTCAATTTTTAAACCACTCTTGTGCTTTAACAGATCTACATGCATTGTTTGCCTTGCTGTAGTTCTCGACTATAAGTTTGATTTACCAGTAAATATCATTATCAGTAAAGATTAAAAATAGTACAATAGTAATAGCACAATTTAAAAAAGTTTTTTTTTTTAATGTTTATTTACTTTTGAGAGACAGAGACACAGAGCATGAGCAGGGGAGGGGCAGAGAGAGAGGGAGACACAGAATCCCAAGCAGGCTCCAGGCTCTGAGCTGTCAGCACAGAGCCTGACGTGGGGCTTGAACTCACAAACCGTGAGATGTGACCTGAGCCAAAGTTGGACGCTTGACCAACTGAGCCACCCAGGTGCCCCAGTAATAGTACGATATTTACCTTATGTCGTATCAAACAGAAATTACATAATACAGTTCCCCCAAATTTACAGTAAAACACAGAGCCATATATTTAAGGAGGAAAGACACACATACTGTCCATAAATGCAGATGGATTTTTTTCTGCTTTTCTAAATATCGTATGGGAATCCCAAAGCCCTTTGGAAAAAAAAAATCATAAATCAACCTACCGTTTTGCTGCCTCTAAAACAAAAACTAGTTGTGTTGCCTATGATTTGAGAATTTGCAGCTGAATTTTCACGTGGAATAATCTTAACTGAGAAAATAATATTTTTAAAATCGTAGATCGCCATCGCAGGGAGGGAACGTGACTGTGTTAAAAAAAAATACTTTAATTCTCGGCAGATGAATACAAACACCTGTGTGCTATTGAAAGAAACCCACGTGAACACAGACACACAACGTACCCAGGCGCTCACACATCTGCCGCAAGTGGTGATTTTGAAATCCCCATAGAGGTCTTTGATGGCGCCGGTGGTGAAGAAGCCTTCCACCATGAGCAGGATGCCGTACACAAAGAACGCAGCTGCAATGCCATAGATCACGTACTTGAAGATGTCAATCCTGGGGGAGAAGAGACAAAGGCGTTTATTTCAGCAACTCTTCATGCCTGATTGGTGGCAATTGATTCTCCTATGCTCATGGCTCCGTTGGAATGACAGCGATAGCGTATTTACGCCCATGATGGAGGCTGGATTTAAACACATTTTTGCTTTATATGCCTAATATCTGTATATACGTTTTGTTCTGCCCCTTCTAGTATCTGCTGATAGGGCTCTTCGTCTTTGTTTACCCCTCTTCCCTTCCTGCCTCCCCTTCCCTGGTTCATGCCGAGGTAGTCTTGGAAAAGCAGTGAGTCACGTGGCTAGAGGGATTTGCTGAAATTCATTTGACAAGTAGGATAATCATCGTATAATTTCTCCAATTACGACAAAATGTCAGATATAAAGATTTATGTATATACTACTGCGTTCTGAAAACATATCAAAAGAGAAAGAAAGCTTCATGGTTAATGACGAATCCATTTTTTTTTCAATATATGAAATTTATTGTCAAATTGGTTTCCATACAACACCCAGTGCTCATCCCAACAGGTGCCCTCCTCAATACCCATCACCCACCCTCCCCTCCCTCCCACCCCCCATCAACCCTCAGTTTGTTCTCAGTAGACGAATCCATTTTTGATAACATGACCACCTCGTGATTTTTTTTATGATAGTCAATGGTCACTGTGTTTTATTTCATGCTTACTGTAAACAATGACGAGTATTTTCTGCTGATAATAATGCCAATAATGAAAAAATTATGTTTTTAAAGAAACGTTATAATTTTGAAAAACCAAGCCTTTTTTAGGCAGAATCACTAATGGATTTAGAATTCAGACACAGAACTGAGCCTTAGCTCAGTTATGGCATAAATACCACAGAGAATGGGCAGGTAGTCTTTCCTTTCTCACAGGTCAGTGCCCATGTATTTAAAGGTGGGGAGACACATGTATTGTCTATAAATTGTAAATGGATGTTTCTGTTATTCTAGATATTGTATGGGAACCCCAAAGCCCTTTGGAAAGAAAAACCATAACTTATCTATTTTGCTGCTTCTAGAAACAAAACTACTTGTGTAGCCATGGTATGTGGAGAGGTATACATGTTAGCTAACATTCTGTTTTTTGTAGTCTTGATATCCTTTTGTACGAAAACTGCTCTTTCTTTCACATCGTCGTTTGTTTTTTCTCTTTTCTCTTATTATTGGAGTATGAATGGAGTAGACAGGGTGGAGACAAATGATGAGGACTGTTTACAAGAGGACAAATGAGGGATTAGAAGGCTTGATCATGCTGATGGAGATTTAGGAATTCCTGATGCTACGACAATATTATTTTTAACTGAATGCATGTAATAGCATTCACTGTACCAGGGCAATTGTTTAATGACTGATCTTCCCCTGTCTGAAAATCTAAACACTGCACAATTTTACTTATTAGGGGCAATGTAGCAGACGATGTGAACTTGTGAGCTCACCAGGCATGCGAAAGAATCTGAGGATTTCAACTGATAGATCAGACTTTGAAGAGTTTGGTTTAGTGGGCTTCTCCAAAAAATTTTCAAGTTAAAATGACATACTTTAAAATATATTTAAGTTTTTGTTTAGAAAGGATTTCAAATTTACAAAAGTGGAGGAACACGAATAATACGAAGAAAAACTGTACATCCTTTATCTATTTGATAATATTTTACCTCATTTATTGTTCTCTTGTGTTTCTCTCTGGATAATTACACCTGAACATAGAGAAATTCTCCACCATATTGTTATTGACTTCAGGAAATCTGACACTGATACAATACTCGTGTCAAATCTATTATTGTATTCCAGTTTTACCAACTGGACAGACCCACGGATGAACTTTATGGCATCTTCTCCCCCAGTATGCGACCCAGTCTAGGGATACGTACTGCATTTATTTGCCACGTCTCTTTACACTCTTTGAACCAGGAACACTCCCACAGATTCTTTGTCTTTATGACATTGGCGCAGGTGAGGAGTACAATCCCACTCCCTCCTCATTAGATAGAATGTTCTTCATTTTGAATTTGATGATGTTTCCTTATGACTAGATTCAGATTACTCATTCTTGGCTAGAATATGATAAAGGTGATACTCTGTGCCTCTGCCCCTCCGTAGTGATACTAATTTGCATCAGCTAGTCAAGGTGACGTCTGATTTCTGTGCTGTGTAATTACTACTGCTTCCCTTGTAACTAATAAGTGATCTGTAAAGAGCCACTGGCGGACCATGCAAACACCCTGCTCCTCATCAAAACTTCCTGCCAGTGTTAGCAGCCACCGATGGGTGGATCTTGACTAATCCAATCTTCCCACTGTGTTAACAAAACGCTCATTTTCTACCAGTAGCCCTCATTCATATTTACCAGTTGGCACTGGATATTCCAGTGTAAGCAAGAGCCCTCCCGTCTCCCCTTTTTACTTATTTGTTTTTGTCTATTTGTCTATTAATGATATGGACTAATGATGTCTGCTTCTTTCTCCTGAAGTTTATAAGGCACTACTGTACTTAATTTTGGTGCTCAAACTGTTCTCGACTTGGCCAATGGGTGCCCCCAAAGCTGGCTCCTATATCTGTGTGACATTTGGCCATCACTTTTTGTAAAGTATTCCTTACCTTCTCACACAGCAAGAGGACCCAGCTCATTTGGTTTATATCTTCCTCAAGCCCCAATTAGGAATCCCTTTGCCAAGCCCTGGTTCTTTATTTTAATGTTTATTTTATTTTATTGAGATAGAAAGAGAGGCAGAGAGAGGGGAAGAGAGAATCCCAAGCAGGTTCAGTGTTGTCAGTGCAGAGCCCGACGTGGGGCTCAATCTCATGAACTGTGGGATCATAAGCTGAGCCAAAACCAAGAGTTGGTCCCTTAACCAACTGAGCCGCCCAGATGCCCCAGGCCCTGGTTCTTTTAATTAGTAGTATTGGAGATCAAGATGTGGGTAGTATGTGTTCTCACTGCTGCTGTGGTGTCTGTGGTTATTTATACACCTAGACATTCATATATGCATGTACATAAACATGTTACATCCCTATGCACATACATGTACATGTGCACATGTCTGCATATCACACACATGTATTTTAGAAATCTCAAATTCAGAGTGATATTTCTAAATCCAATCGATTTCCACAGGGTTCTTGGTTGCCTTCCTCCAGTCTATGTTGTATGTCCTCCTTCCTTAATGAGAATCCTGATTCCCAAGAATACACATGTATTCTTTTGTTCAATTTGTAATAAGCCTAAAGTTATTTCAACATTATTTCATCCAAAGTATTATAAAACTAAAACCTACTTAAAAAGACGTCAGGGGGCACCTGGGTGGCTCAGTCAGTTAAGCACCAACTTTGGCCCAGGTGAGGATCTTGCGGTTCATGGGTTTGAGCCCTGCATTGGGCTCTGTGCTGAGAGTTCAGAGCCTGGAACCTACTTCGGATTCTGTGTCTCCCTCTCTCTGCCCCTCCCCTGCTCATGCTCTGTCTCTCTCAAAAATAAATAAACAATAAAAAATTTTAAAATGAAGAATTTAGGATGCTTGCAATTCCCCTTGCTCTCCGCCTAACACTGAGAGTATACAAATACTGTGTTTCTAAATTACTTAGATAAGTGAATTCTTTTTTCTTCCCTTCTTTGTGGTTATGGTAGTCATTTGAAATGCAGTGGGGGTCTATTTGTTTTAGTTTTAGGTCCCCCTTCCATCCATATTGACTTAATTTCATTTTTGAACACGTAAAACATTATCATGCTTCTAAGAGTCAAATCTGTATAAAAACATACACCCAGAGAAGTGTCATGACCTTCCCTATCCCTTCCAACTGTTCCTTGTTCATTTTCCCTTCTAATCCTTCTGTTTTTTTTTAATGTAAAGGCAAGTGTGAATGTATGCATGTGTGTGTACATATTCCTGTTTTCCTTTCTTTTTTACATGGGAGGGAGCATATACATAGGCTCTTTTGCACTTAGCTTTGACCAATCAATAATATCCTCTAAAATTACTCCATTTCAGTTCACAGCAATATTCCTCATTATTTTTGACAGTTGCATGTACTCCTAGTATAATATATATACATATATTATTTATTCACCAGTATTCTATGCTTGCATGTTTAGATAGTTACCAATATTTTGCAATCACAAACAATACCGCAATGAACAATCTTGTAGAAATGTATTAAAATAGTTGATAGTATATCCTTAGGGTAGAAGGATCGATCAGTTGAAAAGGGAAGGTGTGTAGCTTGGTTAGAAACTGCCGGATTCCTCCCTGTAAGGGCTGTGCCATTTCTGTATCCCAACCAGCAATGTATGAGAATCTGTTTCTGCACAACCTCAACCAAAGAGTGTATCGTCAAGCTTCCGAACTTTTGCTAAGCTGATGGGTGATAACTGGTATTGTAGTCTTCCTTTATTTATCTTAGTAAGAGTGAAATTGATCACCTTTTTATATGATCATGGGCAATATTTATCTTTTTGTGAACCGTTATGTGTTTTGCCCACGTCCTATATTCACCTTAATTTTTTAAACACATTTGCTTAGTAGAGCTATTTGATTTTTACCTATAATACACGTTGCTAAATTTTCTCCTACTTTGCCATCTGTCTTTTGACACTGCTTATGGCATTTTGCCATAAAACTTAAAAAAACTTTGATGTTGTCAAAGTTATCTGTCTTCTTTTTCATTACACTGGGATTTTTGTCATAATACCCAAGCTATCGAGGAATTCACCCATGTTTTTTTCCAGTGTGTGTATCATTCCGTTTTAGTACATTTAGACTTCCGATCAATTTGGTGTTTATATTTTGGGAAGTGCAAGAATTGGACCTAATTTTATCTTTTTCAAAACGGCTGTCTATAACACCTTGGAAATTCTCAGACGTGGATGCTTCTCTGGGGGGTGGGGAGGCTAGCAGCACCCATATTTTATAGCTTTATGTTAGTTTCAATATCAGAGAGTGCAGCAGTATCGTTAATTGTATCCAATGTTATACAATGGCATTATT